TCGATGTTTGGAGCTCTGGGAAGGCAGAGTCATCTATTCAGCTGACTGAAGGATGGACTCAAGAAAGAAGCCAGACCAGAGATTCCCAGGCAGAAAAGCACCATCAATCTTAATGCTGCTGTTTTAGCCAGCGCAGTGGGTTGCTCAGATTTCGGCACTGGGAATCAACAAGTTGGACGTCCACTCAGAGACCTAATTAGAAAGTCAGTAATTACAAAGATGACAGATGGATAAATTTATAATGATGGGAAGAAACCAGCCTAAAAAGACTGAGAATACCCAAAATCAAAATGCCTCTCCCTCCACAGGGGATCACAGTTGCTCATCAGCAATGGAACAAGGCCTGATGAAGAACGAGCGCATTCCGTTAACAGAATTAGGCTTCAGAAGGTGAATGATAAGAAAATTCTGTGAGTTAAAAGAACATGTTCTAACCCAATGCAAAGAAACTAAGAACTTTGAAAAAAGGTTTGACAAAATCCTAACGAGAATAGACAATTTAGAGAGGAATATAAGTGAATTAATGGAACTGAAGAATACAATGCGAGAACTCCGCAAAGTATGTACAGGTTTTAACAGTCAGAAGAAAGGATATCAGAGGTTGAAGACCAACTTAATGAAATGAAACGAGAATACAAGATTAGAGAAGAAAGAGTAAAAAGTTTCTTTACCATGTAGTGAATTAGAATGGGTTACTAGAGATTGGAAGCACTTTAGATGAGGTAGTCTTTGAAGACCTCTCTAATGAGGTGACATTAAGGGAATAATGTGAATGACACAAAATTAACCACGAGACTTCAGGAGAAAGCATTCCTGAAATAGGAACTAGTTGGTGTATAGGCAGGAATAGGTTTTGTGCAACTGAGAGAAGTCCAGAGCAGCTGGGGAATAGTGGGCTGAGGGGAGGATGTTCTAAGTGGAAAGCAGAGAAGCAGACAGGCTCAGACCAGCAGGGCATGTAAGCCAGGAGGAGGTATTTGGATTTCACTGTGATTATAATGGGAAGCTCCAATCAAGGAGGGCAGTATCATTTTTTATTTGCATTTTACAAAGTTGTGCCCTGCTTCTGTGTAATGAACGGATTACAAGAAACCAAAGTAGAAGCCAGGAGACCAACTAGGAAACTAGTCTAGCAGTCTTGGCTGGAGATGAAGAGGCTATAAACTAGGGTGAAAGTGGCAAGAAGTGGAAGATTTGCAATGTATTTTGGAGGTGGATCTGTCAGGATGTCCTGATGGATTAGTTGGAAGGAGAAGAAGTGGTGAGATAAAGAGATTTTTGGTTTGAACTATCTATGTAGCTGGTAGTGACACATCTGAGACAGGAAAACTAGTGATGAAATTTTGAGGATGAAAATGAAAGAAACAGTTTTCTTTGGGCCATGTTAAGTTTGAGATGCTCACTAGACATCCAAGAAGAAATAATGAAGTAGGTAGTTTGTTATATAAGTCTGGAAATCTGAGGCGAGAAGGGTGAAATACAGATTTGGAAATCCTGATCAGATAGATAAAATCTAAAGCCAGGGGACTGGTTGAGATTACTTCTGGGCTTAGTGTGACAGATAAAAGCAAGGGCCCCAGAACAGAGAAGGTGGCACTCCAACATTAAGATATGCAGTAGGCTGGGTGCAGTGGCTCACACCTGTAATCTCAGCACTTCAGGAGGCTGAGGCAGGTGGATCACGAGGTCAGGAGATCGAGACCATCCTGACCAACATGGTGAAACCTTATCTCTACTAAAAATACAAAAATTAGCCGGGTGTGTTTATGGGTGCCTGTAATTCCAGCTACTCGGGAGGCTGAGACAGGAGCATTGCTTGAATCTGGGAGTTGGAGGCTTTAGTGAGCTGAGATTGTGCCACTGCACTCCAGCCTGGCGACAGAGCAAGACTCCATCTCAAAAAAAAAAAGAAAGAAAGAAGGAAGGAAGGAGAAAGAAAGAAGGAAGAAAGAAAGAAAGATAGATAGACAGACAGACAGATAGATTTGGCCAGGCATTGTGGCTCACGCCTGTAATCCCAGCACTTTGGGAGGCCGTGGTGGGTTGATCATAAGGTCAGGAGTTCGAGACCAGCCTGGCCAACATGGTGAAACGCTGTCTCTTTGAAAAAAATACAAAAAATTAGCCAGGTGCAGTGGCGGGTACCTGTAATCTTAGCTACTTGGGAGGCTGAGGAAGGAGAATTGCTTAAACCCAGGAGGTGGAGGTTGCTGACAGCTGAGATTGCACCACTGCTCTCTAGCCTGGGTGATAGAGCAAGACTTCGTCTTGAAAAAAAAAAAAAAAAAAAAAAGATATGTAGTAGACAAGCCATTAGACAGAGGGGGAATGGGCACTGAGGAGGAAAACCAGAACGTATAGTGTCAAGGAAGCCAAGTGAATAAATAACTCAAGGAGAGAGTGGTCGACTGTTTTCTATACAGGAAACAGTCAAAGTCGAAACAATAAGTTGTCACTGGAATAGGCAACATGCAGGTCCTTAGTGATCATAAGAGCAGCCTTACTGGAGTCAGTGGGACACAGGCTACAGAGGCTTGATAGGAATGGGTTGAGAAGAAAATATAGAGTAAGAAAGTGCAGCAACTATAGATGTGTAGGTCATCTTGAAGATCTTGAGATAGAAGACAGAAATAAAGTATAACAGGAATGCTGCTGGGCAATGGTTATAGGAGTAATCACACAACTTTCATTCTTTCAATCCTTCCTTCCTTTATTCAACAAGTATTTATTTAGTGCTTACCATAAATTGAGCAATATTTTAGTCTTGGGGTCACAGCACTGAAGAAGGGGGACAAGATGCTTGCACTCAGAAAATTGACATTCCTGTTGGGGAGACATATGACTATCTGAGATCTGTGGTTATTAATGCAAAATGAGCCCAACAATCCCAGTTATATATATGTATCTCTAGTGATATTTAGACACTTTCCTATTTCTACACTTGATCTTAGCCAAAAGACAGATAAGCAATGATACTTTCCTATTTCTATTTTTTTTCTTTTTTTTTTAGATGAAGTCTCACTCTGTCACCCAGCCTGGAGTACCATGGTGTGACCTCAGCTCACTGCAACCTCTGCCTCCTGGGTTCAAGATTCTCCTGCCTCAGCCTCCTGAGTAGCTGAAAGTATAGACATGTGCCACCATCCCCGGTTAATTTTTAGTAGAGACAGGGTTTCACCGTGCTCACCAGGCTGGTCTTGAAGTTTTGACCTCAGGTGATCCACTTGCCTTGGCTTCCCAAAGTGCTGGGATAACAGGCATGAGCCACCACAGCCAGCCTTCTATTCCTATTGATCTGGTTTGGCAGAGAGTAGGTGGTTAATTGAACTTTAACCAGGGTTTGGGCTCTGCTAGACAAAAACAATGGAGGAAGAGAAAGGTAAAGAAGTTAAGCATATTTGCAAAGGGAAAACTGTAAAGTTGGACCACAGGCTTTAGGCTGGGTTTTGATGGAAATGAGTAGGCTAGGGAAATTACTGATAGAAAGTAAGAGGGGCCAGTGGATTTGAAGTCTTGCTGGGGATCAAAATAAATAGATGGGGGCCAGGTGGATGTTAACGTAGAAGAGCTGAACGGATAGAAATTAGTGATCAGACAGGGCAAGCAGAAGTGTTATGTGTAGGAAACTGATAGATTAGTGGAGTATCCTTATATGGTTATGTCTCACCCACTGCTTATTTTCTTTTGGAGTAATTAAGTTCTTTAGTGTATTATTCCCATGACGGAGTTATCATCAACTGTGCACGGGAGTACACAGATTTTCAAATAATCCATCTAGCTCAGCTGTAGAAGACAGCCTATTATATTATTCAGAGGATTCTATAGGGGAATTCAGTAAAGAAGGCCTTGGCATGTAACAAGAATAAGCAGTTTTAAACTTTTTTTTTTTTTGAGACAGAATCTTGCTCTGTCTCCACGTACCAGGCTGGAGTGCAGTGGCTCGATCTTGGCTCACTGCAATCTCTGCCTCCTAGGTTCAAGCAATTCTCTTGCCTCAGCCTCCTGAGTAGCTGGGACTACAGGCGCATGCCACCACACCGAGCTAATTTTTGTATTTTTAGTAGAGACGGGGTTTCACCATGTTGGCCAGGGTGGTCTCGATCTCTTTACCTCATGATCCGCCCACCTTAGCCTCCCAAAGTGCTGGGATTACAGGCGTGAGCCACCGTGCCCGGCCTTTTTTTTTTTTTTTTTTAAAAAAGATAGGGTCTCACTTTGTCACCCATGATGGAGTATAGTGGTGAGATCATAGATCACTGCAGCCTCAACAACCCTGGGCTCAGGCGATTCTCCCACCTCAGCCTTCTGAGTAGCTGGAACCACAGGCACACGCCACCACACCCAGCTGATTTTTTTATTTTGGTAGAGACGAGGTGTCGCCATGTTGTCCAGGCTGGCCTCGACCTCTTGGGGTCAAGAGATCTGTTTACTTCTGTCTCCGGAAGTGCTGGGATTATAGGCATAAGCCAGTGTGCCTGACTCTAAACTAATTTTTGAAAAACAAACCAAAAAGAGAAAAAAAAGTCACTTTTATTTTTTTGAGATTAAATTTCATTCTTGTTGCCAAGGCTGGAGTGCAATGGCACAATCTTGGCTCACCGCAACCTCCGCCTCCTGGGTTCAAGCGATTCTCCTGCCTCAGCCTCCCAAGTAGCCGGGATTACAGGCATGTGCCAACACGCCTAGTTAATTTTGTATTTTTAATAAATACAGGGTTTCTCCAGGTTGGTCAGGCTGGTCTCGAACTCCTGACCTCAGGTGATCCACCCGCCTTGGCCTCCCAGAGTGCTGGGATTACAAGCGTGAGCCACCGCTCCCAGCCAAAAAGTTACTTTTATCACCCCATGTCACTGAGAATGTTTCCCGTATTGTCTGAAAATAAAGCGCCTCATGTTTAGAAAGATGGAAAAATATGTGGTTTGTAAGTGCATTATCACTAGTGATTATTAATGTATTAGCTGTAGGCATGACTGTTCTGCTGCACCATCGAAACACACACATAATAAAAACCAAAATATATTTGGGATAGAAATATCGTGTTACATTATATAAGGCATTACACTTTACAAAACATTTTCCTATTAACTCATTTGCAAATATTTAATTTGCTGCTTCTTTTCCAAGAAGCACTCCATTCATTGTTTCATAGGCTTCATTCAGTGTTTAGGTGGTTTGCTTCCCACCACCCCCAGCAAGGTTAGTTCCACTATTCCCTCTCCTTCCCTATTCAAGCAACATTAAAGACTTTTCCTTCTAGGGTGCAAATTGAGCCTCTTGGCTTGTGAATATTGGCAGAATGGTAGGACGCAGGAGCTGTGATTTTCGAGTTAAATAATGACATCGTGCTTGGAGGTCAGTTTCAAGTCCACTTCGTTTTGACACGATATTTATCTGTGACCTCATTTTTTTCTTAATCTGTAAAATGGAGGCATTAATGACAATTTACTTCATATATCTATTATCAGAGTAGGACTTATAATTCCTTAGGAAAAGAGGTCAAGCACGGGCTTTAGAAAGAGAAAGTGCAACACGTGAACATCAGCCTATTATATTAAAAATTGTTTTGATCCAGAAAAGACAAACTTAAACTTCTCTTGCCAATTCAAATTCCAGCTTCTTCTTACCCTTCTTTTCTAAATCTTTGCTTTCTCTGGCTGAAATTAGACGCAAGAAGGGAGCAGAGAAAGGAAACCTGGAAAAGGGCAGCGAAGCCCAACAGACCAGTTAGGGACGTCTGCGATCGCTAGTCGGCTTCAATCCAGGGGCTAAGAGATAGAGTCAGCGTTTCCAGCAGAAACGAGGATCTAGCTCAGGCTCAATTCTATGTCCAGGGCTAGGAGCAATTGCGGGAAGGGTCACCCCAACACATTTTACAAAACAGCCTAAGCGGTCCCCTCCTCCCGACTGGGTCAGGGAGAGACACCCCCGCCCCTCCGGCCGGGCCCCAGGGGTCTCCGCCCGCCTCCCATTAGCGGGCACACGGTCGGCGCGCGGACGCGGCCCTCTGACGGAGGCCGGGCGTGCGCTCTGTAGCCGCGGCGTCCCGCTGCCAGACGGAAGAAGCGGCGGCGCCAGCGTCCTGCCGCTTGTCCATCACACACCGCCCACGCTTTCACCGCTTCCGATTGGTTCCAGGCCCGGCCCAGCCCCCTTCCAGCCCCGCCTCCCGTGGATGGACAGGCGAGGGGCGGGGCGGAGGGCCCGCCCCCTGGCGGCCGCGGGGGGCCCGCCCAGCTGTCAGTTACGGGGTCGCCCGGCAGGCGGGCGGGAGGCGCTCGCAGGCTGCCTAGTCGTTAGCTTGTTCTGTCTCGCGCGCTCCCTCTCGCCGCCTGTGGGGAAGTCGGGGCCGCCCGAGCGGCTGCCGCCACAGCCTCGCCCGGGCCTCTTTCCCGGTCCCCTCCCGCCCGCGCACCCGAGTAGTGAGTGGCCCCTCGTGGGGTCCGGAGAGTCACCGCGGCGGCGCAGGGTGGTGGTTAAACCATGTTGAGGAGGATTTTACAGAGGGTAAGAGAGTGAAACCGTCTTTCCGGCAGCACGTGAGCGGGACAGCCGGAGTCCGGGGCCGCGGCGGGGGCGCCCATCCTCAGCGCCGGCTCCTTCCTTCCCTAGGCCCCGCAGCCGGGAAGGCCCTTAGGCCTCGGTCGCCCCGGGGGCGGGGAGGGCGGGTGGGGCCGGCGCGGCGGGGCGGCAGGCGGAGCCCCGGTAGCCCCGCGTGTCCAGGCCTGGCGCCCGCTCCAGCGCGGGGCCCGGCCCGTGCGTGCGGGCGGCGAGCTGGAGGGTGTGGTGCCAGCGCGTTCCTCCCGGGATCCGGGAGTGGGAATGAAAATGGAGAGTTGGTGCCGGTGGGACGGGCCGGCCGGCCGCCTGCCGGCCTGGGGAACGCTCCGGGAGAGATTGCGGGAGGCTTGCTTTTCCTTCCCCACCCACCAGGCTCCCAGTGCACCCCAAATTGACACGACGCGCACCTGCCACACACGGCTCCGCTTTCCCTTCTGGACCACGTTGGAGGGTGGTGTGGTGAGCCCTGGCCTAGCCTGGGCCCAGTCGTGGGACTGATACTGCCAAAGTGAGCCGAGAAGCAAGATGTTACTCACTGTTGGAAACTTTTTTTAAATTAAAAATGCGTTTCCTGTCCAAGCCCATTACCTTCTTATGGTTAAATCTGCAGTAAGCTTGATCAAGTGGTATACAGTTAGTTTCTGCGAGTGCTGACTGAAACCCGGAAAACCTTGAGGTTAGAGAGATTAGAGCATTGGAAAGCTGTAGGTTTATCATTTAGGAATCAATTACTACAAATAACATTATTCACATCTCTTCTCCTATAAGAGTTATTGTACCTATCAAGTGTTATAGGGTTTTTTTTTTTTTTTGTATAGCTTTTTTCCTTTCTGAGGCGGATAGAGTGTAACACAATATAAATGATTAAAAAGTAGGTGCCAAGCCCATTAGTTCTTTACCGAGTGAATAGGATAACTAGTTGAAAGGACAAAAGAAATTAGTGAATTTGTAGGATAGGAAGGGAGTGCTCTTGTTTCTGCCTGGCTTTCTCCTGAAATAATGAAGTCATGTGAAACTTGGTCAGTTACAAGAGGGAGAAATAGTTAACTTTTTTATCTGACACCCTGTATTGACATTTAATTGTATTTTGCAGTGGTTTTGTCAGTTTTGAAATCTCGGTATGTTATGATTTTGGCAGTAGCAAGGACATGTCCTTTACTTTCCCCATCACTTCCTTAGTTCAGCAGTAAAGACATCTGTGCCTGATTTACTTGCAGGCTTTAGGAGATTTTTCTTTTATCAGACCTGGAAGAACTGATTACCTCGTGTCATAGTTCTACAAGTGAAAATTAGTTTCCCTGTGGTTTGCTTTGAAGTTTACAAGTAAATGTGTTTACTGATTTAAGAGTGGCTTCTGTAGTTGTAGATTGGTTTTTAGAAATATGGGATGCTTGGTTTAAAGTTTTGAGATTATATGAAGATATTCTTAATGTTGGTGTGTACCTATCAACTCTTAAAGACATTTCAGTTGAAACGACAAAGTTGAAATTGATTGTGTTTATTGCAGAGATGTGATATTGAATCATCACATTAGAATAAGTCAATTGACAACTGAGTTTCTTAACATCGGTGCTGTTGGCATTTGTGACTGGAAAATTCTTTGTTGTGGAAGGCTGCCCTGTGCATTGTAGGATGTTAGCGACATCCTTGGCATCTACCCCCACTAGATGCCAGTAACATTCCCCTATATCCCTTCCCCCTTGTTGTGACAACCAAAAATATCCCCAGATTTTACCAGATGTCCCCTAGGGGCAAAATTGAGTCTGGTTGAGAAGCACTGTGTTAAATGCATTAACTCTTTAATAGAAAAGTTTGAAGTGTTTCTCACAGTTAAGGTAGTTAACTTTTATTCAGTGTATTTAGATTGAGTTTCAGTAAATGCCAGGCTTTATGCTAAGGGCTGGAAAACAGTTCCTTAAGCCATGAGTCCTCCCTTTAGAACTCACAGCCTGTTTGGGAGGTGAGCATTTAAAAGTAATGACAGTGATACATAATAGAATAATGAAGAGGACAGAGGACCCAGGAGTCACTCTGTGGGAGGAGGTTAGGGCAATTAGGAAAAGCTTCAGGGAGGAGGCATATTCACAGCTCAGAAGAGGGAAGGGCATGTCAGGCAGAGGGAACAGCAAATGCAAAGACATGGAGTCATAAAAGGCGTAGGTAGTACTTGTGGAGTGTGAACAATGAAGCTTAGAAAGTGAGATGTTATGTAGTGATTAGTAAGACATGAAGCTTTGGTGGCTAAAGACCAAATTGTGAGAGTCCCTTTGAAGAAGTTCAGCTTTTATTTTGTAGTTGGATCAGTGTTAATGCTGAATATCTAATAGGGTCATTTTGATAAATATCTTAAATAAATCTGGTGATATATTTTACTTGTTTAGAAGGTAGAATATATATTTTATTAACTGGTGGTATTTACCAGCAAGTGTGACTGGAATCTTTAAATTGTGCAACATAACACCATTTATTTTACCCTATCCCGCTAATCTTATTTCTCAGCACAGATATTAAGGTATAAGATTAAAGCTATTGGCCAGGCATGGTGGCCCCTGCCTGTAATCCCAGCACTTTGGGAGGCTGAGGTGGGTGATCATGAGGTCAGGAGTTTGAGACCATCCTGGCCAACATAGTGAAACCCCGTCTCTACTAAAAATACAAAAATTAGCTGGATGTGGTGGTGCATGCCTGTAATCCCACCTACTTAGGAGGCTGAGGCAGGAGAATTGCTTGAACCCAGAAGGTGGAGGTTGCAGTGGGCTGAGATTGTGCCATTGCACAACAGCCTGGGCAATAGATCGAGACTTCATCTTAAAAAACAACAGCAACACACAAAACAAAACATTAAAGCTATTGCTAATTTGGAGATCTCTTTGAAATGGACTCTGTGCTTTAAAATTATATGGCATGCCTTTAACATTTTGTTTTTAGATGACCTTTTCATTTTAACCATTCTTATCTTCTTTTCTTCTGAATAGTGTCCTTTAAATAGCATTTTTTAAAAGAAGAAAAGACAAAGTGCTTACAGTCCATTAGAACTCAAAGTCTTTAAACATCATCAATAAGTCTCAGGATATATTACAGAAATTTGATTTCTGATTCTCCTGCTTCTGTTTCTCCTCTTGCTCCTGCTCCTTTTTCTTTTTCATCAACTTTTACTAAGATGTTTGAGGCTTGAAAGAGCCTGGGGATAAAAAAAACAAAACAAAAAAACAAAACCTTAAAACAAAACCAAAATGAAGTAGCTCCAATATGTACGTATTGAATATTTTACTTAATAGTTCTTTGAAGAAAGACATGCATTTAAAGGACTTGACGGTTAGAAAGATAATCAACATGTAGTATCTTAGGCAGCTTGTAAACTTTGTTGCCATTTCTTTCTTAAGTATTATAACTTATGGGCTGGCTTAGTGGCTCATGCCTGTAATTCCAGCCCTTTGGGAGGACAAGGCGGGCAGATCACTGAGGTCAGAAGTTCAAGACCAGCTTGGTCACTGTAGTGAAACCCTGTCTCTGACAAAAAATCCAAAAATTAGCTGAGTGTGGTGGTGCATACCTGTAGCCCCAACTGCTTGGGAGGCTGAGGTGGGAGAAATGCTTGAACATGGGAAGCAGAGGTTTCAGTGAGCTGAGATTACACCACTATAATCTAGCAACAGAGTGAGACCCTGCCAAAAAAAAAAAAAAGTAACTTACTGTGATTAGTTTTTGTTTTGGTTTTTGAGACATCTGTTGTGGGCTTCCTGTGTGCTGTGCAGACAATGTTGGGTAAAGCAGGCATGAATTTTTGTGGAGCTTAGTGTCCATTGGAAGAGAGGGGAATTGTTCAGGGAGTCATACAACTATGCCATTGAGTGAGTTGTATGCCTCAATAACACCCAGTTGGGTGCCTCAATAACACCCAGCAAGAGGGCCCTGGTCTTAGATGTCAGGAAGGCTTTCCAGATTAGTTGCACATCTAAGTTTGATGAAAGTATTACTCATTTCAACCAACAGAATGGGAAAACAATTTTGCAATCTACCCAATCTGACAAAGGGCTAATATTCAGAATCTACAAAGAACTAAAACAGATTTACAAGAAAAAAACAAGCCCATTGAAAAGTGGGCAAAGGATATGAACAGACACTCTACAAAAGAAGACATATGAGGCCAACAAACATATGAAAAAATGCTCATCATCACTGGTCATTAGAGAAATGCAAATCAAAACTACATTGAGATACTCATCTCACGCCAGTTAGAATGGCGATCATTAAAAAATCTGGAGACAACAGATGCTGGAGAGGATGTGGAGAAATAGGAACACTTTTACACTGTTGGTCAGAGTGTAAATTAGTTCAACCATTGTGGAAGACAGTGTGGCGCTTCCTCAGAGACCTAGAAATAGAAATTCCATTTGACCCAGCAATCTGATTACTGGGTATATAGCCAAAGGATTGTAAATCGGTCTACTATAAGGACATATGCACACGTATATTCATTGCAGCATTGTTTACAATAGCATAGACTTGGAACCAACCTAAATGCCCATTGATGATAGACTGGACAGGGAAAATGTGGCACATATACACCATGGAATATTATGCAGCCATAAAAACCGACGAGTTCATGGCCTTTGTAGGGACATGGATGAACCTGGAGA